GAGGAGGAGGAGGAGGAGGAGGAGAAGGAGGAGGAGGAGGAGGAGGAGGAGGGCCTGTCCCCGATCCATCCGCGAAGTCTCGCCGTCTCCATGTCGATGCCTCCCCCCCTGGGCCGGTCGCCTGGCGGTGTGCGGGTCATATGTCTCGGGGCTCCGGCGGCCGTGCGGGACGATCCCCCCGGAGCGCTCTCGGCGAGGTGGCAGCCGCCGGAATGTGCATCCCCGCGAGAGAGCCGCCGAGGACCAGCGAGGCGCCGAGGGCCACGATCCATCGGCCATGCTTCCCCACTCTGGTCGACCCAGAATAGGGAGAGGAAAAAACACACAGACACAAATTGATCCTCGATTCCCCTGAAAATATGGGGAAATATGGGAAGTGGGGGGAAGACAGAAACCCAGAAAGTATGGGAAGATATGGGGAGTCATGTAATGCGTGTGTGTGTATTTATTTGTGTGTCCTGGGGGCCCTCTCACAAAAAGGGGGTCCAGCTGCAAGGTGGTGGTGCAGTAGATTTGGGGCAGCAGTACTGCACACGTACTGCGCCAGAGAACTGCTTGTCGCTGGACCCCCTTTTAACAAGCCGACCAACCCCGCCATGTCGAGTTAGCAGATGGCCTCTTTTCTGTGTTTCTGCTCGTGAAGTTCTGCCGCGGGCTGAGCGCGCTGCCCGCCTTCGCCCGCCGCTGCGGCCTTCCCTCCCTCTCCCTCCCCGTCCTGCGCGCCCGTTCGGGCGCGGTACGAGGTCTCGCTGCCGCTCCGGCAAATATATCGGTTTGGGGTTTTCTGCAGGGTGCTGCCGCAGTGTTTGCGCTTGTTGCTAAAAGTGCCCCTGGCCCAAGGTGCCCCCAGGATTTCCAGGGAGAGCCCCACGGCTTCCAGAGCACACCTCACGAGGCCCAAAGAGCCCCAGGGGCTCCACAATGGAGCGAAAGTTGGGGGCCCTATGGGCCAGGGGCACTTCCAGCAACCCCCGATGTTTTTCGTCGGGCCTGAGTCCGCCGGGTCTGGCCTCGTGCCGTTTCCACCAGAGGGTGTTTTGCGAAAGCCGGGGGCGGCCAAGGGGGGGGGGATGGCCAGAGTCGAAGAGGACAAGCTGGCAGAAGCACAAACTGCTCGCGCTCTGAGCGGATTGTTCTGGTTTCTGCTTTTTATAGGCGGAGGGCATCGTGGCGGGGGCCGCAGCATCTCTCGGGCCGGGCGAAAGGGGGGGATTGGGAAAGGGGGGGGTACGAAATCTGCTGCATGCAGCTGGTTTCGGCCCCGCCGCCGGGCCCATTCCTGGATACATGGGCGGGGAGAATCAGCTACGGGAGCTGATTCTCCAACCCCCCCTTTGCTATCCCCCCCTTTTGCCCAGCCCGAATCTCCCAGGTCTCGTGGCCCCCCCCCCCCTGCCTCTTGCGGCTGGTTCGCCTGGCCCCCCTTGAGGGCCGCGCACGTGCCTCAGGGCCGCGGTTTTTCTGAACCGACGCCGTGGATCCCCCCCCCCCCCTCGGACGCCCCCGACAGAATCGCAATGGATCGTCGATTCCAAGGAAAGTATGGGAACATATGGGAAGTGGGGGGGAAGACGAACATCTGAAACACATGGAAAATATATAAGGGGTCCAGGGATTAGTGTGTTGGTATTTGTGTGTGTGTGTGTGTGTGTGTGTGTGTCCCTGGGCCCCTTCATGCGATGCGGGCCGAACCTCCGTACACTGGCCGAAGGTCCGTCCAAACGGCGCTCTCGCCTCGGCGCGGGCAGCCCACCGCCAGCGTCACCGGTAGGTCGTGGCCAGTTTTCGAGCCAATCGAGAGGATTCAGAGCCCCGAATCATCAGGGGTAACTCGGGTCAGGGATAACTCGGGTTCCTTTTTCGGGAATCCAAGCCCGAGTTACCCCGGACCCGAGTTACCCCGGATAGCTCGGGCGTCCAGAGCCCCAGAATCATCAGGGGTAACTCGGGTCAGGGATAACTCGGGTTCCTTTTTCGGGAATCCAAACCCGAGTTACCCCGGACCCGAGTTACCCCGGATAACTCGGGCGCCCAAAGGATGTCTCAGCAGAAACCGGCGTTTTTGGCTCAGATGGGGGGGCTGGACGACGTGGACGCATCACACGCACGTCTGACGAAAGTCAAACTCGAAGCAGTGCGCCCGACAGGAGGTCGCCGCGGGCTTCCAGGCGGACCCGCGGAGGGTGCAGATGCCTCTGGCCGACGCCTGCGTGGGCACCTACAAGGCTCGAGGGAGAACACGAGCACACGGCACGAGCACCGTCGGACCGAGGCCCTGAGATCGAGGTCGGTGGGGGAGGGGAGGGTTACTGCAGTCGGGGAGGGGGGAGTTCGAGGTTCAAGGTTTGGGTGAGTTTTCGTCGGGTCCCGACAGCATTCCAGCCCCGGGGTGCTCTCCAGCAGCTGCACCTCGCCGAGAGCGTTCCGGGGGTGCCTGGATCGCCTGGAACGGCCGCCGGAGGCCCGAGTTATGTGCCGAAAATTTGATGGGACGGGGATACGGCCAGACCGTGGTAGAAGATCGAGGTCGGTTCGGGGAGGGTACCCTGGTGTTCTTCGTGTTTGTTGAATGGCTCGTTGGGCATCCAGGGATGTTCTGTTTGCCGTCGCCGATGGAGGGTCTCATGTTCTTGAGGGATGTTCTTCTGGCCTAGGTCCGACTGTAGAGACTCGTGGAGGTCCGCGCGCCTTCCTTGGATCCGCGCCGGCCACCCTTGCAGCGCTCCGCGCGCCAGGGAGGGGGGATTGTGCGTCGATCGAGGAGATCCGCGCGGGCCTGTGGTAAGTTTGTGTGTTGCGTGCATCTGTGAAACAATGCACGTGCACACGTGTACTGCGTCCGCGCCCGCCTCCGCAGCCATAGGTTCGAGGGCAGGGACCCCTCCTCCTCTTCCTCCTCCTCCTCCTCCTCTTCCTCCTCCTCCTCCTCCTCCTCCTCCTCCTCCTCCTCGCTCCTCCTCCTCCCTCTCCCCCTCCCCTTCTCATCCCTCCTTCTTCTCCTCCTCCTCCTCCTCCTCCTCCTTCTCCTCCTCGGGCGGAAAGTTGTACCTTGCGTCTGAGCCTGGCCACTGAACATCATACCTTTCTCTTATCTCTGCGTCGATCGTCATGTACGGCTTGCTGCGGGAAAGGGGACCTGAAACGTGTTGTCATCCGACATGAAGTCCCGACCCTTTCCTCGGGGCCAGTTTTTCGCCCAAGGTCAGTTTCTGAGTGCCCTTGGACCCCACATCGGGCCCTGCATGGGGCCTGGAATCGAGGAAAGTCGCCCAGTGTCGTCGGCAGTCTGCGCCGAGGTTCTTAAGAAGCCCGCCGCAGGCGCCGATTGAAACAAATTTTGCACAACGAGCCCTCTGCAGGCGCCGATTCTTCGTCGGAGGTGTCTGGGTTGGTAGCGGGTGGGTCGCAGGTGGGTTGCGGGGTGGGTCGCGAGGAGGTTCGCGGGGTGGGTCGCGGTGCGGGTCGTGGTTGTGTCGCGGGCGACATTTGCAACAACCTCGCAACAACCACGCAACAACAACAACACCAACAACAACAACAACGACAATTTTAACAACACCAGCAACAACACTCATTATACTATTGTTCGCTCTTATGCGATCGCCGGCCACTCAACACGTAAATCCCAAACCCTCGATACCCGCCCTTTGCGTCTTCGACCGTATCCCGTTAGCGTGTATTTCGTGCAGCCCCAAAGGCAGGGGAAGAGAGCACGGATGGAGTAAAGGGACAAGGGGCAGGGGGGGTTGAGGCGTGCGCCTTGCATAAATTGCGGGGAAGTCCCGATCAACACCGACAACAAACAAATACAACAAACATTGTAAGGCTGCTCGTTCGTATCTACCCGCATCCCATTCAGCATGTATGCCCCAAACCCTCGATACCCGCCATCTGCGATCGTACCCCCCTTAGGGGTATGTCTATCTCCTATCTGCTGCGAGCATGTCGTGCAGCCCGAAGGGCAGGGGAAGAGAGGACGGAGGAGAGGAGGGACGAGGGGCAGGCGGGACGCCGAGGCGTGCGTCCTGCACGAGCCGCGAGGGCGTCTCGAGCGATAGCGCGATGTCAAAGCACATCGTGAGGAAATCCGCAGCGAGAGCACAATGCCCAATTGTCGAGGGCGCGGCGTCTGAACTACACTGCGGAGAAGTCCCACGCGAGTGCGCGATTCCTGCAGACAGTGTGAGGGAGTCCTGCGCGAGAGCGCGGTTGGGAAGTGCATTGTGTCGAAGTGTCAGGCGGGATCTGTCGTGATTGTTGCCACTCGGGGGCCAAAGGCCCAGAAAGGGCAGTTCAGTTGAAAAACAAGATGTGCCCCAGAGGGGGGATCAACACTAATTATTCGGGGGAGCGTAAGACCCGGGTTTGCCGGGACTCGGGTTCGTCATCGTTTTTTGACGACCGCGACTCGGATTTTGACGAGGAGGAGTTTTGTGGGATGTCTGCAGCGGGAGGCCTCGTCAAAATGCAGGCTCGGCCTCGTCATTTTTTTGACGACCTCGGCGGGGATTTCCGAGTCCCCCGTACCCGGGTCTTACGTCTCCCCGAATTATGTTTCAGAAGTGGGAATACAGCAACAACGCAACAGCAATCCGCACTGCGGAACCCCTTTTAGCCACGAGCCCATGGGCAGCGAATCATCGTTTGGCCCCCCTAACTCTCGTATGCATATGTCTAGGTATGTGTGTACAGGTATGTGTTTGCACGTGTACGTTTGTAGACGTACATGTGTGCCTGTATGTTGTGTGCACGCACGTGCGCATGCATTTGCATATGCATAGGTGTAGGCATACCCACACATGTGTATATATAGACAAGATTTTACGGGCTCGCTGCGCTTCGCCTTTATAATCTTGGTCGCATGGCGCCAGGGACGCGCGACGAGATTGGTTGTCGTCGCAGCCGTGGTGTGCTCTGGACATGGAGACCATGGGGCAAACAGGGCTGATAGGACCCAGGGATTATTGCGGCTCAAAGAGCCCAGACAGGGTATGTGCCGTCATAGGGCCCAGGGGCTCGGAACCCCCATTTTAGGCAAGGGGTAATGCTGCCGATGCAGCTCCAGGGGGTCATGAGACTCAAAGAGTTCACAGGGCTCATGGGTTTCGTTGGGGTGATGGGACTGTTTGTGCACATCGGGCACGGGGCTCATACTGCTGAGTGGCTTTTACAGGTGTCGGGGTCATGGAAGGTTCATGGTGCTTATAAGGGTTCTGGGGCTCCTTGGAGGCATCAGCTCTTGGAGTCATCAACTCTTGGGGGCCAGTGGGCTCATTGAGCTCGCAATGCTCCTGGAGGCCATAGGGCCCATAGCGCTAACAGAACGCGTAGGCCTCGTAGGTCTCATGGGGCCGATTGGGGTGAAAGGGGCAAGTCGGGGCCATAGGGCTCATGGGCCGTATACGGCTCACTGAGCACTGAGCTCGTAGGCCTCAGAGGGGGATCGCATGGGTCTCGCAAGGCTTCACGGCTCCTAGTGCTGATGGGGTTCTAGGGCTCATGGGGCGCATAGGCCTCATAGAATTCATCGCGCTCATAGGGTGTCATGCAGGGTCGGGGGGGGGGGTACGGGACTCGGCTCATTGAGTTCATGGGGCTCATGGGGCTCGTGAGCTCATAAAGCTCATGAGGCTTCTAGTGCTCATAGGCCTCAAAAGAGCTCATCAGGCTCATGGGGCTCGTGGAGCTAGGAGAGCTCATGGGCTCGTGAGCTCTTAAGGCTCATTGGGCTCCTAGGGATCATTGGAGTAATCGGGTTCGTGGGGGTCATAGGGCTCATGGGTCCCATAGGGCTCACAGAGCTCATCGGGCTCATAGGGCTCATACGGCTCATGGGTTCGTAAGGCTTAAAGGGCTCATTGGGCTCGTAGGGTTCGTAGGCCCCATAGAGCCCATAGGGCTCATAGGGCTCAAAGGTCTCATAGGGCTCATAGGGCCCATGGGGCCCATGGGGCCCGTGGGGCCCATAGGGCTCATAGGGCTTATAGGGCGATGGTGCTGCGGCGCAAGAGGTAGCAGCAACGAGCTCGCTAAAACGACTGACTGTTGTTCGTTGGCTGCTGCCGTGGACGACCAACATCGGCTCAGAACCGGTCCCCGATGCCAGATCGACTTTGGACGGGTGGTCCGAAAACGGTCCCGAGAGGCAGAAACGTGGAGAACTGTATCGTCGGGTTTGGATGGTGGATTTTCCTCCTTCTCGTCCAGCCTCTTCCTGTTTCCCTCCTCCTCCCTCCTTCGACCTGCTTGCTCCTTCTACTCTCCTTGTGCGCCTCTCCCCCAGGAGAGCGGGCTTCACCTGCGGCTCTGAGTGGAGGATTCGCAGTGGAGCACCTCCAGCCGTCTCGTGGCCCTCATGGGGCACCTGTGATCCGTCTTCCTGGGAGGATCCGCAGAACGCTACGTCCCCACATGTGTGCCGAATGTCCCCTCACATGGACCGCACCCCACAGGGAGCTCCACCGACGGTGAAGAGCCAACGTGTGCATGCCGCCTCACCGCTCCACCGACGGTGAAGAGCCAACGCGCGCATGCCGCCGCACCCCGCCGCACCGTCCATGGCGGCACACCCGTGATCTGGATTATGAATTGGGGGGCCCTTCGGGGTCTCGCGGCGCGTGGGGTAAGAGCTCTGGAGGTGTTATGGCTCCCAGGCCTCACAGGGCTCATGGGGCACTATAGTGGTCGTAGGGCTTGTGGGGCCGACCGGCCTCTTGGCTGATAGGGGTATGGCCTGTCGGGGCTCGCGTTGGGCTCCTTTTGAAGCTCTTTTGGGTTGTCTGGCGGCCGTCCAGGGCCGTCCCGGGACCCTCTTGGGCCATCCTGGGGGGCTTGGGCCGTCTTGGGGCCCTCTTGGTTCTTCTTGGGAGCTTCCTGCGGCCTTCTTGGGGCTCTCTGGGAAGCCTTTTGGTGATCTTTGGGGCCGTCTTGGGGCTCTCTTGGGTCGTTTTGGAGCCCTTTTGGGCTGTCTTGGGGCTCCCTCGGGGACTTTTTGGGCCGTCCTGGGGCGATCTTGGGGGCCTCTTGGGCCGTCTTGGACGCGGTGAAGGCCAAAGAAGTGGATATGCAAAACATGCACGTTTTCCGAAGGCAATGGGACGATTCTAACCTCTTGGGGGTCTTCTTGGGGGCCTCTTGGGGCGTCTTGAGAGCATCTTGGGCCGTCTTGAAGCCACCTTAAGGCCTCTTTGAGCGCTCATGAGCCGTGCTGGAGCGGTCTTTGGCCGCCTTAGGGCTTTGCGGGACCGTCCAGGGATGGCCGGGAGAGGCTCCTGAAACCGAAATTCGAATTTGACGTCGGTGGGAGCGCCGAGGGCCGAATCTATGTACGGAGGGGGGGTCAGGGGGGCTTTCCGCTATAATAATATTTGAAGAGGAATATACACGTATAGATCCATAGATATAAAGATGTGTGTGTGGGGGGAAACATATGTATGTTTATATGTTTACAACTGTGCACTATCAAATGGATTTTGCAGGCAGATGCTGACATATCAGCATATACGGGTGTATACACACATATGTATATATATACACATCGATACACACATATCGTATATGATTATACCTAGCTAGTGTCAATATACCGATCGATCTGTCTATATTTATATCGATATATCGATCTCTATATCTATACAGTCGATTTCATGGGGAGACAGGTGTCAAAGGAGATCGGCAAGAAGCACACCGTGAACGTCGGCTCGGACGACTGCGAGCAGCGCTCCTGGAAGCACTTCGCCAGCTTCCAGGTGCTGCGCCGGCCGCGGGGCCCGCAGGATCAGCCCGTGTGCGTCGGGGAGGCCCATGGGGCAACGTTAGGGGGAGATGAGTTGAGAGGGAGGAGGAGGAGGAGGAGGAGGAGGAGGAGGAGGAGGAGGAGGAGGGAGGAGGAGGAGGAGGAGGAAAAGGAGGGGGGAGAAGAAGGGGGTGGAGGGAGGAGAGGAAGAGGAGGAGGAGGAGCAGGAGGAGGAGCATGAGGAGGAGGAGGAGGAGGAGGAGGAGCATGAGGAGCATGAGGAGGAGGAGGAGGAGGAGGAGGAGGAGGAGGAGGAGGAGGAGCAGGAGATGGAGGAGCAGGAGCAGGAGGAGGAGAAGGAGGAGGAGGAGGAGGAGCCCAGCCTCGGGACGATCTCCAGCAGCTGCGCCTCGCCCAGAGTGTCCCGTGGGTGCCCGGATGGCCCCCGAACGCCCGCTGGAGGCCCGATTTGTGGCCCGCACGCCACTGGGGACGGGGATCTGCTCGGGGGGATCGCGCATCGAGCCCCAGTCGCCTCATGATCGCCGTGAGGGGGCCCGAGGCCCCGCGCCGCCCAGGGACGTGTGGACTCGCGATCCATCGGCGACGCACTTGCCGATCCGCTGCTTCCCCCCTGCGCCCGTCGCCTGGTAGGGTCATAACTCGGGCCTCCGGCGGCCGCTCGTGGCGAAACCAGGCCCCCCCAGAACGTTCTCGGCGAGGCGCAGCCGCTGGAAGCACCCCTGTGGCCGGAGAGCACCCACGAAAGCGGCCGTAAGCCTCAAAAGCTTCGAAGCTCGAAACCTCGTCCCTCCTTGGAAACGTTTTTTATCAATTCTTTTGCCGGTCGGCGCGGGCCCTCCCCCCCACCCTCCCCCCTCCCCTCCCTGGAGTAGATCTTGGCTGTCTTTGGCGCCTGCTTTGAGCGGGTGGAGCCCGTCCCCCACAGGACGCACTGCTGCAAGCAGTCGCAGGAAGCAGAGGTCCGGGGCCAGACCCCCCCCTCCCCCCCCCTTGCCGCCCAATGTCGCAACGCCGAGTAAAAAGAAACGCTCACCAACTTGCCGTTGCCAAGAGGAGGAGGGAGGGGAGGAGGAGGAGGAGGAGGAGGAGGAGGAGGTAGAGGAGGAGGACCTCAGAGGCGAACGGCACCTGGACCCTGCGGGTGTCGCTGTCGGAGGACTGCTCGGGCCAGGCGCTTGGGCTCGCCTGGAACCACAAGGCCGTCTTCTACATCGGGGAGGACGCGTCGGGCCCGCCGATGTGCGTCATGTACCGCACCTACCCGAGGAAGAGCCTCCGGAACTGGTCCCGGTGGATGGTCGCCCCGAAGGACTCGGGGCTCACGCAACCCAGCCCCCCTCGAGTCATGCAGAGAAGTCCTCGAGGCATTCCTGGTAGGTCTTCGTCAAACGATTGAAGGCTATTCGGCCACATACAGGGGTCACTGAGCCGGATCAGGCCAGGCTGACCGGAATTCAGCGGGATTGAGGGGGGAAGTAGCCGACCCCAGAAATGCCAACGCCGATGCAGGAAATCGCCCCCCCCAGTCCATTGCCAGAATATGTCCACATGCGCTGCTCCGGAGCTGTGCCCTGAGGTCCCGAGGAGCGGTGGTTCCGGATATGTGCCCGCCCGCGCGTGGGTGGGCAGATGACCACATCTACCTCCTCCTCCTCCTCCTCCTCTTTCTCCTCCTCCTCCTCCTCCTCCTCGAGCTTGTTTTTTATTACTCGGACCCGTAACGCCCGTTACGGGGGGGGGGTCCCCCCCCCCGTAACGGTAACGAACGTACGGGGGCGGGGGTGCGGACCCCCCCTCCGTCCAGGCAGGCATGCTGTGACGCTCACATGTGTGCTCAGGTTCGAGGTTCGAGGTTCGAGGTTCGAACCTCGGCGCAAACTCAAAATGGGTCCACGGGGCCCGACTGGGGCTCAGACGCACCAGTTTCCCGAGCCGCGTCCAGCCGCGGCGACGACGAAGGCCCTCGAGGGCCAGGATGCCTCGATCCTCGAGGTTCGAGGTTCGCATCCCTCGGCGCGAACCTTTCAACGGGTTCCGGCCTGGCCCCTCCACCTCCTTTGCCTTGCTTCTGCACTCCCTCCAGTGCTCGTGCCCTCCACCTCCTCTCACCTCCTGGGGGGAGGGGGGAGCGAGGCAGAGGGAGGAGGAGGAGGAGGAGGAGGATGAGGAGGACGAGGAGGACGAGGAGGGTTGGAACAGGATCGGAGGAGGAGGTGATGGGGGATCGGAGGAGGGGCATGAGGAGGAGGAGGGGGCAGAAGAGGAGGAGGAGGAGGAGGAGGATGGAGGATCGGAGGGGGATCGGAGGAGGAGGGGGATCATCTTCCTCTGGTCCCTCCGAGCGTCCTCCTCCGATCATCCTTCTCCGATCCTCCTTTCACCTACCCTCCACTTCCTCTCCTGCATCCTTCTCAGAAGGCGGCGGGACTTCTCAGAAGCCCTCTGGCCTTCAGAGAAGCCCTCCGTGTCTTCGGGGGAGGCTTGGACATCTTCTCAGAAGGCCGGAGGCCTTCTGAGCCTTCTCAGAAGGCCCGCCCCCTGTCATTTCCCCCCTCGCTCGCCGCCAAATCTTGCGGGCACTGCCAATGGGCACTGCGCTTTAGCACTTGATCGGCGGTGTGGCGCGCCAGAGGTGCCAAAGAATGGTCGTCGTCATCCCTGCCGCGTCCGTTGTCATTATCCTGCGGGCTGCACCCGGAGTCCCGACGCCCGCCTGCCAGCACGACGTTTCCCCGAACAGTGCGCGCACCAGGAGTTCCGTTGAAACGCAGCGCCACAAAGTGGCCCCGCCTTTGGCGCAACCTGTGGCGCAACCATCGACGCAACCTATGGCACGCCCTGAGGGCGCAACCTAAGGCGCAACGTAAGGCGCGATTTGTGGGGCGCCCTGGGTGCGCAACCTATGGCGCAAGCTATGGCACGCCCTGGGGGCGCATCCTATGGCGCAGCTTACGGCTCAACCTATGGCGCAGGTAATTGTACGCAAGCACAACGTGTGGTGTAACGCATCGGGCAAGCCATGGCGCAACCAGCCGGTGCACTCTCACAATATCATTATGACTACTACCGCTGTCCTCCCTCCATTCTCCCTGTGTTGGTGCAAGGGGCTGGACTGGGCGAGACCTGCACGCGGATGTGGCCGCATGTCCTTCCAGCGCTCGGCCTTCCTGCCTCGCGCGGCTGGTCACGCCAGCCCCCCGCATGTGTATCCAGCAAGAGGGCCCCAAGCGCTGCTGAAGCTTTCGGCAACCGGCTGCGGACGCGGCGGCGGCGGCGGCGACGGCGGCATCGGCGGCGACGACGACGGCGGTGACGGCGGCGGCGGTCACCTTCACCGCCGCCGCCGCCGCTTGCCGCCTTCGGCGTCGTCGCCGTCGCCGCCGCCGTCGTCGTCGTCGTCGTGGTCGCCGTCGCCGCCGCCCGTGTCGCCGCCCCCGGTCGCCGTCGCAACTGACGGCGACGACGACGACGCGCCCGCGTGCACGCTCCAGCCGTCGACCCATGTCTCAAGGGCCTTGTGCCTGTGCAGGGAGCTCCTGCTTCCTGTATTCCCTAGGCTGCCGCCGCCCCGCGCGCCCCCACGGCGCGTGGTTTACACCCCGCACAAAAAAAACCGTACACAAGCTTTGTGGTGCACACATGCCACGTGGTATACACAGGCGCCACGGTTCACACTCCCATGATGTACACAGTCGCAATGGAGTGCACAGGCGCTGTGGGCTCAACAGGTCCGAGCGCTTTTTGAACCAGAAAAACGAAGATCCACAAGCAACTCACATAATGAAAGGGCCACGGTTGGGCCCCGAGCGATCTTCTGGACTTTCGCTCCGCCGGTACCTTGCAGGTGTACACATGCTTTGTGGTGTACGCTGGCACTCTGGTGCAAACACGGGGCGTTGAAACAGCAGCTGTGGTGCACGCGGGCGCCGTGGTGTGCACCAACAGTGAGATGTATCAGGGCGCTGTGGTGCACCCGCCTGTCATGATGTGCTCAGTCGCCGCGGTGCACACACATACCATTTCTGCCGCAGTTGTGGTGTACAAAGGCATCGCGGTGCACAGAGCCTGTGTAGTGTGCACAGGCACGGTCGGCTTCGACGACGACGACAGCGGCGACGACGACGACGACGACGAAGCCTACCGTGCCGACAATTGTGCTGGTAATAAGTACCAGGGCCCGTGCGGGGGCCCCGCCGTGCGTTGCCGTTACCCCCAACTTGGGGCCGGACCCCCCCCCCCCGTAACGGGCGCTACCCCCCCCAGGAAAAAAAAAAACAAGCTCCTCCTCCTCCTCTTCCCTCCTCCTCCTCCTCCTCCTCCTCCTCCTCCTCCTCCTCCTCCTCCCCCCCTCCTCTTCCTCCTCCTCCTCCTCCGCCTCCTCATCCTCCTCCTCCTCCTCTTCCTCCTCCCTCTCCTCCTCCTCCTCCTCCTCCTCCTCCCCCTCTTCCTCCTCCTCCAGCTGCCCTCTGGGCCTGAGAGATTGTCAGGGCAGCGCGCGCACACACTCCGCCATCCCCCTGCGTGTGGAGGAAGGGTTGACTGGGCAGAGGCCCGCATGGCGGCCACGGCATGGACTGCGTCCCTCGCGCCGCTGCTGTTCAATTCACTTTCCGCGAACCCAGACAGGCAGCAGGAAGTCTTCGAGGAAGCAACCAGCTTCGATTTCATCATCTTGACGGGAACACCAATATGGCGGTGAGAGCAGCACCCTGAACAGTGGAGAATTCAGGGCACCAGAGTCTACGACGCGGGCTGGAGGACGGGCGCGCTCGCCAACAGGAGCACGGGCATAACGATGGCGTTCCAAGGCGAACCTAGAAGGGCGCAAGTGATCAACGTTCTGGAGCCGCCCGAGGAGCTACGCAGACGAGGGTTAGCACTCCAGCTGCAGCAGCACGACACACAGCTCACAGTCATCGGCTAGTACTGCCCGCCGCAGCCAAAAACGACAGCGGACCGCAAGCAGCACTACGCGACCATAGCACGGCTGTTCAAATGGATGGATTCAATGCTGTTCACAGCGACCTGAATGACGGCATCGGCATCGGCAGCAAGAACGAGCACCCAGAGAGCCCCTCGCTGGGACCAGGACGTGCAAAGGAGAACTTCCCTGGCGGAGCGGGAGACACAGCAAGACACTACGCGGAACGGCATGGACTCACATTATTCGGAGGGGCTTCGGCCAACTGCGTCGACCAGATCATGATACCCACCGCGCTGGCCAACAGCCCCATCTCACAGGGACCGCTGCTGCGCATGGGCACTCGACTACAGCACATTTACAACAGACAACACAGCTATCATGTACCAATCCAAGCTACAGCTCGCTGTCCATTACTTTCAAGAGTTCGGCCCAAACAACCTGCAGTAAGATGGGGCAGAGACAAACTGGCAGCGGCAGCGCGTAAAAGGACTACACGTAGACGAGCTACCTCGAACCTGGATGGCATCGAGCACGAGCTGAAGAACATCACCGCCACCTGCGCAGCCTGGCGCAAACTGGAGTATCAGAAGAAGACAGACGCCAAGGCTGATTGCGGGAGGCGGGTACGGGCCACGAGAGTGAGATTATTGGACAATGACTACTGCCAACACTACGAAGCAGGAGTGGCTGGAGTTCTGGCAACTATCAGGAGGATTAGGCGGCGTGGAAGGCAACGAGCACAACAGCGAAACGGTAGAGCAGATACCTACCGCGGCCGACGAGATAGACTACTGCGACAAACGACATGGAAGACGTAGTGGAAAAAGGACATAAAGGGCATCTCGGGGCGACTTAAGAAGGCTGGACTCCGACGGGCGGCGCCGCCCACAGCCGCGCCCAGCGAACTCTGGCGCGTACTACTGTGCCCCCGCGAGGACGAGCTTCAACAACAGCGACAAGGATTGGGGGCGCTCCAGCCACCTCTTTATCCACAAGGCTCCCAAGACTTATTCCGAGCGGCATTGGCCGCCGTTTTGGCCGCGAGCGCGACGCCAGCACGTTGGCACCAGAGCGCAGCTACAGCGGCAAAGAAGAACAACAAGCCGGGCCCAGCAGGCAAGCGCATCTACCATATCATGGACCCGCCCGGCAGGGCCTTCTATTCATGCGTGGCACTGCAGAGGGCTCAAACGCACTCCGACCAGGGCCACGCCTGATTTCGAGGCAGGGGGCGGGAGAGCGACATTTTGACGATGGCAGTGGTAGAATACCGAGCCAGGCAAGGCGGGCACAACTACACCACGACGATGAAGGACATGCACAACGCATTCGCCAGCTGTGCCTGGTCCACTATGGACGAGGCTAACAGCAAGATCATGCCAGAC